TATATAAGAAATTCTAAAGTTTTTTTTCAGAGATTAGTTTAATGGATTTTGTATTATTGGGGAATGGAGGGGAAGGAAGAAGTCTTGATTAACAGTCAAGTGATAAAACTGGTATGGCACTATTTGCTCTGACTCACTGCCTGCAGGTCCAGTACTGTATCTACTGCTTGTTCATCTCTGGGACAAAAATGAAGAACAAAAACAACACACGATGGGTACATACACTGTAGAAAAGGCACTCCACCTACACTTGTTCTTAAATAAGCTATCTAGACTCAATTTGGTCACAGCAGTAACAAGCTCAATATAGGCTACTTATTTAGGAAGAGGGATAACACAACCAATCTGTTTCCAGTACTTAGAATCTCCTTTAAAGCCAGTTCAAGTATCTTGACACTGAACTGTAGTCTGCAGTGATGCATACATACACATATAAAGAAATCTACTCTTTTCAGGAAACAAAAATGTTTCAAGGTATTGAGAGTAAACACTGTCAAACCTGAAAAGACTGCAGCTATGCTAAACTTCAACCCAGAAAACCAAAATGAATTTAAGTGCTGTATTTATAATAAAAATATATACTAAATGTTTTGTTGAAGGTCTGCTCCAAAGATGTTTTAAAAAGTAAATATAGCTGTTTTTAGAACAAAACAATACGTTTGAAAAAGCACATTTGAATTAATTTTCAGCCTTGAATCCACTTCCTCTGTGACACCTTCTTTCCAGATTATGTGGGAAAGGAATACTTTTTCTACCCAGCCAACTTTCACATAGAATTCTAAACCAGACAGCCCTACTAATTCCAAAATAGCATGCCAAACTGGTTATATTTTGGATGATCAACACATGAAGAGCCTTGCATCTCAAATACAGTTTAAGCACTAAGTGATCAGGAGCTTCAGGTCTCTATACACTAGGAGGATTCACTCCCCTGTATCACCAGACCACGAATATGTTAAGAAAAATATAAATTAAATTGAATGAAAAGCAGTAGAACTTTTCTTTTAAAGTGCTGTCATTAAAAAACGTAAGAAAGATTTTTCATGCCCTTAATAGTCATCAACGAGACACCTTC